GTTTTGCACGTAATTTTTATTCGGTAAAGGTACTTTGTAGTAAAATTATTTAACTTAACAGAAATGTTTGAAAATTTAACAAGAGGTTCATTAAGAATCTTACTTTGTGGTCAAAAAAAAGAAAATTTGAGTTTAATGTAGTATTTTATTTTATAAAGGAATTTTAATATCAAATTTTGATGAAAATCATTGAGTAAAAAATTATGTGGAACAAATCCAATTTTTTTTTTCTTGAACATATATATATTTCTGTATATTTCTGGTTTAAGAACGATGGTGAAGTCAGACTTGAGCGGACTGACTAAGTTTCAAAATTAAAGCTTTTTGAAGTTCCGATAATATGCAAATATTAAATGTTATGTTAAATAACTAAATATCATCTCCTCTAAAGTATGTTTTTCATAACTGAATGGTTATACATACCTACTTTTAACCTGGGGTTCACGAGTTCGAACCCGTGTTTTGAAAAAAATTGTTAGTTCTTTTCTCCCCCTTTTACCTAAACAAGGAAAAAACATATGCATTTTGGGTGTTCCTTGAAACCCAAGCAATTGCTCACTCAGACTATATTAATCGCAAAATACTCCTCGATTCGTTGTGCAAACTTTTCTACCAAAAATCTTACTCCAATATATTAAGTGTAGCTTATTTTCTGAAAGGTAATTTTATCTCTATGGTAACTTGAGGAGGTCATTTTTTAATTTTCCAGGAGTTTTCCCAATAAATGAGAATAATCGTGAAAAACGGGAAAATGTACAAAATACATTAGTAAAATATTACGATTTTTTTTTTTCTGTAGACAACTATTCTACCAGCAATATTGCTGCGGTTTACAATGATAGCACTTTTTCTGAAAGGAAATTTGACTAGAAAAGGTTCTTTAGTGACATCATTTTTCCATTTTCCCAAGAGTTTTCCCAGCAAATATGAAAAACCGGAAAAAACACGGGAAAACCGAGAAATAAGGGAAAATCGGTGCAATATTAAATAAATATTATTAAAGACAATATTTAATGCCTATTTAATTGTTAACCATAATATGATATATTGTTGACAAAGCATCACTATCAACTGAACTGCGCTCAGAATTGTTTTTTCGTTAGCAATTGTTTATTTTTGCTTACAGGTATACATTAAATTACCTATAATAGTGGCTACACCTATGACCATTATCCTAGGACGCCTTTTTTTTTTCTTAAATCTTGTTTTCTTTTTTTAGACTAGATACATTACAAAGATTGTTTATGTGTGTACTGTGTACTCCTGACAAAAGGAATGTTTATACGTTTATCCACGGACTTCGGTTTTTGTTATGAGTATATGCATGTTTTAAAAAATGAGTGGGTTATCTCCACTATGCCATTGACTGGGGATTCGAAGGAATACAAAACAAATGAAAAATAAAATGAGTAAGTAAAATGATTTCTACCCAAATTTAATAAACTGCAGAAGCACTATCAAATCATAGTAAAATTCAAGACATAAATATATTATATTATGATAATACGCATTATGAAGTATTTATCGTAAATGGATCTAAAGTCAACCCGTCGTTGTCGTCGGTAAAAAAACTGCAGTTGGCAACGTAGCATTATGCACTTGGCAGTTTATAAAAGTTGGCAAAGATTGTCATTCGAAAGGAAGGCCAAGGTCAGCGGAACGCAGCATGCGATAATAATAGTCAAAGTGCACTGTACAAATTTAAAAGAGAAAAATCTACGATCATAATATTATACAGAGCGAGCAGATTAACCGCATACACACATTTTTTTTTTAAATATAGCTATAATTACTTGAGCACAGACATCCAATGTAATATTATTAATTCCCAAGTCGAAAATATGGGTAAATTTTCAAAAATATATTATTTTCTCTGTGTATTTATAGTGTAATCTAATTGAAATATTAAATTTACACGAAAAAGACGTTAATCTTTTATTGACGGGCCTGTAGTACTAACCTATAGGTATATAGAGAAAGGCGAGAGACACATTATATGCAATATTATTATAGTAAAAAAGTATAACCACAAAATGCAATATTTCTATCGGACTAAAACGGTGTAGGGCTATAGCAGTTATGGGTACATATTATTGTTATCATTATTATTATTATATTTTTTATTTACATTATGCGGCCGCCGCCGGTTGAATCGCACGGATGCAGTTTTGGCAGTCGTCCTATTTGGCACCGCGATTCGAATCACATTATTTATAACGTAGAAAAAAAAACCACTCTTTAAAATAGACACTATAATATATTATATCGGACAACGCATCACACAGAACACTCTGCACAGGTATTATTTTATTTTATTTTTTCTTCTATTTATCTCATTACCAATTATAATTTTCTATATCAAAGTACCAATATACGAGTTACCTATACATGATGATAAATATATGTATCTGTTTTCCCCTCGTTTTTCGATCTGTACGTACGCTTTGTTATTATGTAACCAAACACGAAGCATAAATTTATTATAGGTGTACACTACACAAATATTATGGCTAGGTATATCGATATAATAACATAAGTGTTGTATATCGATGACTATATAATAGGTGTATATTGACGGAGAAAAGATCTCACCCGCATCTCCATACTTCTTTATCTCTCTCTCTCTCTCGTCCCGCAGCTCGGTTGACGAGAATGATAAAAAAAAAAATTCTATGTACCTAACTCGTGTATACGATTTTATATTCGTTAAAAAAATATCGCAAATAACAATCAATTACGAGTATATCATCTTATTATTATTATTATTATTAATATTATTTCTATACGGCTACGATGATAATAATATTATATATAACTCAATGATGTGGGCTCCGCTATAATATTATGCACGTATATCGCCTCCCACCGCCGTCACACTGCACTGTTGCTGCAGCAGCAGCAACAACAGTATAATATGCATTTGTGTCCTTGACCAAGAACGATATTTTTTTTATCAACACATACACACTAACACATATACACACACACATACATACAGAGCGAGTACATACAGATAAAATTCTGTACTACGATTTCCTGTGACCGCGTATTATATGTTATGTTATACGCCCCCTCTATGCAGAGACGGTTTTACCGTACACGGAATGGATATGTGCAGAAGGCGGACGAGCAGGCTATGTGCGGGAAGGGCTTCTATATAATATAATAAAATAATTGCCTCGCATTGCATTTTCAACTGCAGCGTTCACTTCCTGGTGCTGCGAATTGACCTTGGTCAACGCGCGTATATAGTATAGTGCAGTGTATTGTAGTGCAGTCGTGAGTAGTGGCGGTGGGGGGGGGAAATCTTAATTTTTTTTTATACTATACTTACCTACCTACCTACTTACCTACCTACTGGCATATAATAATAATAATGGTTTTCTTTTGCACAACTGCATATCAGCGGTATAAAATAATATAAATAATATCCGCTTACTATAATAATGCAGTCCTCGAAATAAAGTAACAATCAAATCTTCGTTGCAGGGCCGTCCTTAAGATTTGCGTGGCTCAGGGTGAAATGTTAAATATTTTCATATTATATTGTATTATATTATAATGCATATTTTTCTTGACGCGAGAATTTAAATTTAAATGAAATCCTCGAAACCTAGGGCTTGCCTCCCCCCCCCCCTAAAGACAACCATAACTCGTTGAGTATTCTGAAAAAGAAACGTTTTTAAACAATGCAGCTGACACGTCATGACGGTTAATAATCTCATGTTATTATTGCATTGGTCACAGATGAATAATAATAATATATTATTTTAAATAGATTGATTGATAAGATGTAAAGTTATAATCCTCCGTTTAGTAAGTTTAGTTTGGGGAATCGGAGCACACGACTTTCATCATTTACTTATTTTTATATTGTGATAACACTGATAACTATTGTATTATCGACTGATCCATTGTGCCACATAGTACTGAGTAGATATATCATTAAAACCAAAGTAGATTTAAATGGATATATCCACGTTGAAATGCAGTGCCTATTCTATGACAACAATCACAGATTTAGCAGTTAGGTATCACAACATTTAAGTACCTATAATATATTATGATTAGGCCCGTGATGCCTTCAACCAAAAACATGGGTTTGATATAGTTGCTATCGATCAATTTTATTATATCATAATATATACATTAGGCTGTCTTTCAAAATTGAGCGATGTTGAACCAAAAAAAAAAACCAACTTGTATCTATCCCTAATATATATAATACGCTAATGATAATATACATTCGGAAACTCAACAGTTTGGTAATTTAATATTATATATTTTTTGTTAGGTTTGCATTTATCAAGTAGATTCATATCACTCGTTTTAGTACTTGATACGTACCGAATAATGAACCTGATGCATAAACATAGAGTAATACTAGTATACACTATATATTATAATAATGAGTATCTACGGACTACGATCTGATACGACGATACAATCAGCCGCAGCGTCCAGTGTACCTGCATTACGCATAATATGTTAGGTATTATTGTCACGCAGATTTTGTTTTTTTTTTTCTAGAACAAACGAGTTTCGTCGAATCAAAATTTCGCCGAGATAAAAAAGAAACGCACTCGTATTATTGTTATTGTAATGTACGTGCGTGTGTGTTTGTACGTAGATAAATGATAATAAACAATTTGTCGTTCATTATAGCTGCAAACGCACGTGAGCAATATAAGCAATCAGCTGATTGTGATTAGTCGGGACTAGGTCAAGGTGACCTTGATATTGGATATTATATACTATGTGTATGCATGTCATGCACATGTGTGTGTGTGTGTGTGTGTGTGTATGAGAGTATGTTTGTTCCTATATAATTCACATCTGTACCGACGCATACGTATAATAATATACTATAATATTATTAAATACGTAATCCGCCTGCTGCAGTATAATTGCGACATAGTGTAATATATTATTATTATTATTATTAGGCATATACAATGTAAAATTATTAATTAATTAACGGTTATAATTATTGAGAATTGATTGAATACTAATAGGAAAATGATAAGCAAAAAAGAAAATGTTTGCAAAAAAAGAATAAATATAATTACGTATAAGTGTATAACAGCACGTCAATATCGCCTTTTCCAAACACCAGAATAACAATTTCATATGATAATATTCAGGGGCATGCTCACGTGAAGGATATCATATCCCTCATGAGCCTTTTTTTCACCTATTACCAGTAGTTGTATTCATATCGTTTCCCCGAATACACCTCCCCCCCACACACGATTTAAAAATCCTGAGTACTGATAATAATATTTAACATATTATATTATATTATTATAATTCAACATCAACAAATTTATAAAACTATAGAAGGGATGGTTGAAGGGACAACTTACTCCCTTAAACATAGTATTCTGAGACGACCAAATGGACTTAGAGAAATATTTCTAGAATAAAGAAGTTAATCAGTTAACCGAATGCAGGTAACTAAAAATACGACGGAACATATTTCCATTTAATTGAAAACTATAGTAGACAACGTATTTGTGAGCCCACGACTATTTTAGTAAAAAAAAACTAAACTTAATTTTAAACCCTGTGGATCATATATATTATATACAATAGGCTTAATACAATTCAAATTATTGTTTTTCAATTGCAACACTATAATGTTATTAAACGTATATTTTTCCAATATTTGTGTTAAGCAAAATAAATGTCAACGTTTCTGTATATGCGTGTTTTTTGTTATATTTATATACTTTGTAGAGCATTTTTCAGGTGCATTTGACATTCATCCTTCATAAGTATAGTGTACATTTTTTAAAAACCTAAGTACATTATAATGAACCAAACTCTAACCCACCTATACCTAACGTTATTTTAATACTATAACTTACACGATAAAAATATTAAAGCAATATATAGATACCCAATAAGTAATAATATTTATTAATGGATACTGACAATAATATCGTTTCTCATACGGCAGACACTCTCGCCCAAAACGACCAAAACATGAGTGAAAATGTTTAAAAATGTACCTATTTAAATATGTATATAATATGTTTTCAAAACATATATACCAACAATAACTGCAAGTATTTTTGCAAATTCCTATATAAATACCCGTCTTTTGTGTTTATTTTAGTTTTTCGTGAAAATGGCTAAACATTGGCAATCCATTATTAGAATTACACGTATAGAAAAAATATACACGAGTACAAAAGAGTATAGTATATTATTAGTAATAATATACAAGTATACAAGGAGAAGTGGGATACAATAGTGTTGTCGCTCGTCAAAAACTAACAAGATTTTCAAATAAATAATAATGTGGTGTATAAAACTCGATAGGTTTGTTATTTTAATTTAAGGTGTATTCATTTGTAATTTCAACTTTTTTTTTAACATCATATGATAAACATTTTTTTGTATTGTCGTGATATGTATTGTACCTACAACGATTACGAAACCAAAAAGCAAAAAAATGCTCTGGACTCCGGAGGATCATCGCATCTATTTCTTATTCCTATAATTATGCTAATCATAATACTATTATGTATGAATTACCACCAAGGCATTTTTACACAGTTTTTTAAATAATTTATCTACATATAAAATATAATGCATAAAATCACACATTTATCTATTTATTACATGTATTTATATAATATGCAATCATTTTTCCTATAATCTATTCAGTTTAATTATTCATATATATAATATATACATTTTCTCAATCGCATATAATTAGTATACCATCACCATACCGACAAACAGATAATTTATTATACAATCAACTCAAGTACCCACCTACGTTAAGTATACACTTATAGGTACGAATCGATTTTGTTTTAAAAATAAATAAATTTATAAAATTATGCATTTATTTTTCGTTAATGCACAAAATCTTTACTTTAAACACATACATAGGCGCTCCCCATGAGTTCAGAAATACATTGAAAATTGAAACTGATTGTATATGGAAACAGAGGACAGAGGACACTATTAAAAACAATGTCTTATCAGAAAAATTATTGCGGACACCAATAATTATACTTTGTTATAGAACTGTTTATAAAAGTACCAAATCTAATAGACAATGGTAATAAATAATTTGACATTTCTATAATCATTGAAATCTTTAATTTACCTTAATTTCTTTGAACTTTTAGCACGTTTTCGTCCTATTCATTGTGAACGATTATATTTGTTTGAAATTTTAGAATTCCAGAGTTTGTATGATTTCACTACAGAATTAATTTCTTGTGATATTTTGTCGATCTAATAAAGATTCTAAATTTATAATGTTAAAGAAATATGCTGCAATAACAATAATGAGTACAATACATATTATTTTGATATACTGTGTGTCCGCGGAAACAGGGTACACTTTATCATTCATACTTTATCATACCTTGTGAATATTTTTCAATTCTGTTTTCAGGACATTAAACTAGACTATTAAATTTCTACGACTTACAATTTGTTTAACTGTTATATTTTACGCATGAGAAATACAATTTTAGTTTTTTTTAAATAGCAACCCCTATTTTGAACATCATTTTCAGATTTATCGATTTTTTTCAAGCAATTTTCATGAATCAACTTGAATTTTAAACCCAAAATTGGCTAAACTAGAGCTAAAATGTAATTTTATAAAAAAAAAGACGTCCCAGGATAATGGGGTCGGATATACTATTATAGGTAATTTAATGTGTATCTGTAAGCAATGATAAACCATTGCTAACGTAAAAACAATTCTGAACGAAGTTCAGTTAGTAGTGATGCTTTGTCAAAAATATATATGTCATATTATGGTAAAATAATTAAATAGGCATTATACATTTTTTTTAATAACATTTGTTTAATTTTGTACCGATTTTCCCATTTTCCTCAGTTTTTCACATTTGCTGGGATAAATATTGGAAAAATCGAAAATTTACATCTCTAAAGCACCTCCCCAGTCAGATTTCTTTTTAGAAAAAAAAACAACTTTCTTTATGATTGATTATATATTAAATAGAAAAAAAACAATCTTTTGTTATTTTTCGATTGGAGTAATATTTCTGGTAGAAATCATCTTGAACCAAAATTGAAATCATTTAAAACGGTAATCTCGCATTGTAAACGCACTATCAATATTGCCGTTTCACTTATAATTTTCTTTCGATTTTTTCCCAGTTATTTTGAAAACCCATGAAATAATCAAGAAAATCACTTATTTAATGGACCATCTAAAGACAATTTTCGAGTTTATAGACAGAAAAAACAAATACATATAGCCCTATACCATCACTCTGCTTACAATTAAAAAATTGATAAAATGTAAAATCGATTTTAATTTTTATTTGTTTTCCTATTATTATTAATTTATCATTGTATTTTAAAATTCTTAAACATACATAATAGGCATAGTGTTTTTGTAAACAACGATGAATAAATTATATTTTAATTCTAATCGAAGTGTAGTATTAATATTCAAAACGGTATTTATATTGTAGTTATATTATATGGTTGTATTTATGTTTATTAAATATTATATGTATTTATCTATATACGTGTTTATATAGATAGGTACCTATATTAAACTGTATAGTTTTCGCAGATTGCAATGGTAGTGCAAGGTCAAGTGCACCAGGTTAGAAATAATTACAACGATCTGAAATAATATTATTATACATTAATATGAAACTACCCGACGAATAAAATCTATTTAACTGCTTTTTCCACGACCATAATGCAGAAATATACTAATCATCACTCATCATACTGCACATATTATTTTACTTTAGGTTCCTAGGAAATTAAACACAAGTCGTGTTATTTTTTTTTTTTTCATACACATACCGGAGTATAATTTATTATTATTTAACTCGAATGAAGTCATCAAATTATATCTATAAATATTTATTATTATTTAAAAATAATAATAATGTTATGTATTTGATTATATAAATTTAGCTATAGTAAATTACTGTTAGTGATATTTTAACAATATTATTATTTGAATTACACCTCTGCTGTGTACCTATACTTCCTACTATACCAATACGCAAACGTGTGATCAAAGCCAATTCCCAATTAATATTTCAAACCGTTTTACAAATTATTATGTTATCATTCGAATCAAACTGCTATAAATTGATTTATAAATTGTAAATCTCTATACGAGATCATAATATGATAATATGATGATATTATTAGGTATCATATTATCTAATATTAGAAAACTATAATACTATACAAAATTATTATAGTTGTCCTCTAAACAGCTTAAAAGAGCTTCGCTATCTTGAATATTATTAGGGGCACATAATAATTATGAAAATATTAAGTTTGTTCGGCTTGTACTCTCGCCATCATTGCTGCCCGCCGTGCGTCGTTTATAACTTCAGGACATTTTTTCTTCTGTATCATTTTGCAATCTTTGAAAAATCCCTCGTGTCTCGGAAGACCGTGAGTTCCATCGTTAAAAGTTATTAAACCTAAAATATTTAAAAAATTCAATAATGTGTAATATTTGTAATAATTTGTAATTTGTAATAATTGTTGTATTACAGATAAATGTACAGTAAACAAAAAAATCGTGTTAATTTAAATTATATTAAAAAAGTTTAAAATTAATGCGGGAACTATTATTTAGTTGATTTCTTGCCATTTTTTTTTTCTTTTAGCTTTTAGCTTCGTTTTTTTAAAAAGAACATTGAGCAATTTAAAAAATGACTGCTCTTTATATATATGTCGTCTGTGTTCAGCATATACATATCTTTAAAGTTGCAAGATGAAATCATTTTGAGTGTTTAAACATCTAAACATTTATTTCAAGATCGGGCTTTAATAAAATATACAATGTAAATCGAGTGAAATGCCATAGGTATTCAGGTATTTCTGCAGTCGTTAGCAGATAAAAATAACAGTTATATTTTTCCAATTCCTCAGATTATTACGATCACGAAAAAACATATTAAAACATATCAACATATCAACATTTTAATTCTGACTGGGTAGTTTTTCGAACGTACAATAATGAACGCATCTACCTACGTAGACTTAAAAAAAAAATTAACTTTTTGTGTTCCACCACCTATTTTATTAATGTACCTACCTAATTATTACCTACCTAATCCCCAAATACGACCACCTCTGAATTGTCCTTCGTATTTCATGCCATCGGCCCTCCAAAACATGCCATGACCGTGAAACCATCCTTGCATGAATTCTCCTTCGTATCTAAGTACATTAAATTTAGATAAAAAGTCAATATTATTCAACTCTACTGATAATTTACATCTTAATTGTGTATAGGTAATAACTATACAGCTAATATAGTATATAGGTATCTAATTACACTATATAATGTATTGTTATTGTTACTGAAATTGACACGAGTGTTGTACACTTGGTGAAATTGATCGTTTCGTATAAAAAAAAAAAACCAATTTTAAGTCAATAGGTGCCTTTTTTCACAAATTGATAAGAACATTTGACACTGTATAGTTTGTTTTCGTAATTTGGCTATCTTATCTATAAATAACATATGTATAGGTATATACCATCGTATAATTATGTTATTTGATTATTTTTTATTCAAATATCATGCAATTTATGTAATCACATAATCATTGATAGTAATATCAACGGTTATATTCTAAAATTCTGGTCGTTTATCGGTTTGCTTAGTTTTAAAATTATTATTTTAATATTTCTAAAGCTCAGATAAACTGATATGGACAACATTCGTAAAATTGACGATTACATGCCCACAAGTAATTGCTAGATATCTTGATACCTACCTTGTACCGTCCGAATACTGCAGAACTCCGAGACCAGTGCAGAGTCCGTTGTTGAATCCTCCTTCGTAGCGGGTGTCGTCTTTCAATTGAACGTGACCCAAACCGTGTTTTTGACCACGATCGTTCCAGTCTCCAATATACTTTGTGCCGTCGTCGTATACGTAAGCTCCAAATTTAGCAACCCTTGCTGTAATCGTACAAAAAATATAATTATATAATCGGATTTCAATATAATAACCAGTATACAACATTAGGGGGGGTACCATTAATATCATCTGGGGTTCTAAATGGTGAAAGAAGTAAGTTATTATTTTATGATAGGTGTGTGTATTTGCGTTTCGTTTGTATCTACACTAAAAAAGCAATGGTTTATCGAGTTCCTAAAAAGATTAAGAAGACGATTTTAAAAAATTATTGAAAAAAAACATACCTATCTAATCAAACATTTAATCAGAAAACTGTTCGTATTTAATGTGATAATTGTTGATCTTTTTTAATTTAAAACAAATAATTACAATGCAAACTATTATAACCATCTTGCATGCACATTGCACATGCACATCCCACTACAATCGCTGTAGTTGTTTCCCATTTGTTACGAAATGTAAAAATATTATCCACTTTTTCTAACAAACATATTTGATTGTATAATTTTTTTTGTAAAATTAATTAGTTTGTATACACCCGGTTTATACATAGTTGTTTTTTTTTTTTTATTATTATTATTATTAGTATTATTATTTAATACGATGTTTTGTAAGTATACATATAATATATACTATACCTATATACCTATATATTAAGTGTATACCGAACAAATAATTTAAAAATCCATAAAGTAAATAAAATATAGATAAAATTATACAAATAAATTTTATTAATAAATACTCAAATAGTTTGTGTTTATAAACGTTTATTATAATGAAATAAATCTTACCTGTCTGCATTATTGTACATCTGCATAAACATTAAAGTTAATATACGTATAGATATATACGAATATCGCGTACCATCGACTGTAAAGTTACAAAATAAATTAATGTTTGATTCTTATGGGGTTTCATTATGGTTACACCTAGATATTGATTGTGTTTAATTAAATTAAGTTTTTCGCTAAGGAAGGGTGGCGTTTTATGGAGTTATACAAGTAAGTATCTATATTTGTGTGTGTGTGTGTGTGTGTGTGTGTATTTTCAACCTAAAACCGCTTTCTCGTGTATAATCAATGTAGATTCATTTTTACAACTTTATTTTACTCAAATTTGTTGAACAGGTACATATCAAATTTAAGTTCAATTATTACTGTTTTAGGAATAACAAAAAAATTAAAAATTATAACCCCACAGCATTTTGAATTATTTAAATGTGTATTACGGCCAATATAATTACTCATGACATGTTTGATATAGGTATTAATATTTAAAACCGCATTTATTACAACAACCTGCAATTATAATATAGGTAACGGATATGATATTATAACCAAACCTACGTTTAGGATGACGACTGATAGTATATTATAACTTTGGTAAAAATAGCTCACGCTAGGCGGGGTTAAATTTTGAATCATTGCCTATACGAGTATGGCGTTTTTGTATAGGTTTGGTCGATGAGTTATCGAAATTTTCAACAAATTATTCTCCACCAGAATATTTTACAATATATATAGGTCGTTATATATGTCCGGTTTAGTATTTTAAAATAAAATATACCAATCAACTTAATATTATGTTAATGTCTATTGGAAAACCAATCATTTTAGTGTTTTTAATTCAACACACATAATATTATACACAGTGTATATTATACGATGTACAATTTGTTTTAGTTTGTCTCTTCAGTCGATGATATTACAACAGGGGAAAGTTGTCTTAATATAATAATAAATAATTACTAATTATCTCAGTTATTATATTATAAGTGTATCAGAAAAGTAATTATCTATTTAAACTAGGCGGCATATTATTCTATATTATAATGCATCTTGTGTGCATTCAATATTAATAACTATTGTTATTAGACCATCATCATCACTCATCGACAAATTTAAATTTAATTATTTTTGATATATATACGGTTTTTTTTCCGGGTATAAACAAAAAATAAAAATATAATAATATCTATACACGCATTATTTCGATGGCAAGATATACGCGTAAAAAATATCAATTTATACTACATATGTATAGGTACACATAACGCGGATCGATGATATAAATTTTACGGTACAGTGATGGTATACATAGTTATTGTATTTAACTTATAATTTCGTATTATTGGACGATTTACTATACAACAATGTGTTTTAATAAGAACGTATACCAGCTGTATAATATTAGACATATTATAAATCATGTTATTATTATCTGTGCGTGCATTCGACAAATTTAAAACCGCGTAAAGTGTAAAGTACCTATACTTATTATTTGTAATCCATATCGTGTACAGGTATAATATAATATGAAAAAAAAAAAATGTTTAGTCGAGATATTTAGAATCGTACAAGGTTTATTTACATACGTACATCTATTATACGTATACCTACAGTCTACCGAGGATTTAAGTAAAGCAAATGTAGGTATATAATATAAAATATTAGTGTTATAACAATATACAGATTTATTATTTAAGTGTATCCCCACCTTTAACATGCAATGTTAAATACAATGTATTCTATATAAACGCCCTTGGTCGATATGCCAAAAGTTACTGTACCTACCTATCAAAAAATTTTCCTCCGACACCATCGCAAGGTTAATTCGCACATAGTTATTTCTATTAATTATACATGAAAAACGTATAATGTTCTAATGATTGGTGATTACTAGCGTAGATACATAAAATATTACATATTAAAATTACACTGCTATACATACGTTCTAAAAAGTGAATACCTACCTAGTCTATTTATTTATATTCGTGTAAAACTATATAATAAAGATTAGCATAATGTATAAGTGACATAGATTTAATAAATTTGTATTCGAATCGATAAAACAGTTGGTACCAACTTATTAATATTTTACAATTATACGGGGTTTTTCGAATTTCGCTAACGGAAATTAAAATATCCAACACAGACATTTATTTACCCCGAAACATCGTCTGTAAAAGAAATGTTTAAATAGGTTGCGCTTTGGAAATCAAATCACCCCCAAACATCAGGATAAAAAAAAAAAAAAAGCAATGAATCATTTTAGAATATATTATGATTCCGAAAAACGTTCACAATTATAGGTCATTTGTTGAAGAACTAAATATTCCATGGAGAAATGTAGTATAGCATACAATTTAAAAGACCTTATAATAATATAATGATTTACTAAAATGCACTGAAATATCAAACGAATGTAATGGTAATAAACACTTTATGTACTATAAATTGTGTACCATATACTTAAAAATTTACATAGGCATTTAACGTAGGTAATTTTCTAGGATCTATATATAATATTCAATAGAAAATCAATAACAACCGTTAAGACTATAGGTAAATATATACGTTTATTGTTATAAAATAATTATTATTACAAAAAAATTAATTTCATCGTATCCAGTAAATATCCATGTTTTTCTAAAATGAACGTAATTTTAAACTGAAATGTTCACTGAAAAAGGTTTGATATTTTTTTCTTTCATTACTACTAATAATAATATATAGATAATGACGATCACAGTAATACTAATAATGATACACTAATACAAAACTTAAACTATAATCTAATGATATTGTAGTGAAATCAATATTTAACCAAAATGTAAAACACCAAATACGCTTATTGAAATTTCGAAGTTCTAGATTTAATGATTATTCGAAAAACATATTTTTGGTATTTTTGTTCTCGTATTTTGTACAAACGTACCAATAGATGTTGGGTTACCCAGTTGTCGTGTTGACGTTACAAATTCATTTAAAACTATTTTTTTGCGAATCTCGTGGGTTAAATTTGTGAGTAACTTGGAAAAGTGAGTTGTGTTTTTTGAGGAAAGTGACTGCCGTCTTATAAAAGTGACTTGTTTTAGTATAGATCGATATACGATTATTAATAATCCTTATTGGGTGTATTAGGAGCTCTTCTTAACAGTGTAAGTATTTTGATTTATTTGCAGTACCTACCTGACTTCAATTTATTTTCATTTTTATTTTGCTATGTAGTAAAATAATATAATTGCAATAATAAAAAACTTTGTTTTAACTTGTAGGTACCTATAGTCTGGGGGTACTTGGTGAGTTACCTATCGTGGTGAATAAATTATATTTTTTTTTTTTATTTTTTTTGTATAAATCTTTATTAAAGCACTATCTAGCGGTTTGTTTTTATTTAAAGCGTATTTCGCGGATCATCCGTTAGATAACGTCACGTATATTTACAGAGTATATAATCAAATTAGTATTTTCATCAAATGGTACATTTAATTATAATAATTAATTTATATTAATATTTTGACTTTTGAGTTTTGTTTAATAATTTTCTGGTTTTTATTTTTAAAAATCTTCGCATTTATTCTGTAATAAATAATAATAAAAAATACCATAATATAGGCATAAAATAAATATACCTACTCTAGTGCATTAACATTTGAGAAGAACTTTTTTTTTCATTTATAACCGACAGGATCTGTATTAACATTACTACTCCACTACTGCAATCGTTTATTCGAACCATGCAAATTTAAAATTAAGTGAAGTAATTAAATCAAAGATATACAGTTTACAAATTCAACCGTTCTACAACGGTTTGAGAGCACTGACTAACATTGTAATCGGATAAACTTTTGGGAAAATGCTAAAATTCGTCATTAAGTTTACTTGAAAATTATGTCTCTACTTGTTTAAACTTGAACTCTTAAGCCCTTTAAAATTTGAATATTTAGAATTTTGAAATATGAAGTGGGTAAAAAAATATAAGCAAGTCGATTTTAAATAAATTTCACGACCAATTCAAATATGTTTTCAGAAATGTTCCCCGATAACTTGAATAGTCGGTACAATTGTTGATACTTTAAGACGAAAAAAACCCGGCAAAACGGCCGTACCCCTTCCTCCTTAATGGGTAGTAGATTAATGGAAAAATCAAATTTTAATCAAATTGGAGAAAATTTTGAAAAACCGACATCGACCCAATTAAATAAAAATATTGGTTTTTTTCGACACGGATTTCAAATTTCCATTGTCGGGTTCAGAGCCATGTACAGGCGTACAGCGAAGGAATATTCTATACGATTCATTCGTGATTATTTATTTAGGTAGGTCCCGTTACATCGTATCCCATTGAAAATTCCCGGACACGCCACCGGTTTCGTGCGTTTAAACTACACATATTTTATCGTTTATCGTGTAAAAAAAAAAAAAAACAAACAATACCATCATATACATATTATATGTATTATGCGATTTAGTATTGATATAATAATATAGTGCGCATAAAGGTGTACGTAATACGCGTTAATTAACGGATTGTGTACAGTATATACACCGCGTTTGATTTTTAGCACACCGCGGAAACCACTAAAACAACGGTCAAACGATAAACCAAATTTTCTCCAATTTCGTACAACTTCATAACAAATTGTTGATCGATTTTTCCCATTTACAATGACCGACACCTTATTATAATATGTGATAATACTTCCGCGTGATACCCGATATATACGGGCCCGATTCGAGCGTTGTCTAAAGCGTATATTATTGCAAACCGATTGTGCTCCAACCCCATTTGAATGAAAACAAATGAAATGATATGGCGAGCCGGCAAAGCTGTTGCATTGAATGGCCGGTACTTGCCCATACACAATAAAATGCTAATAGTCGGTATCCGCGCGGGGTTGTTTAAACCGTTCAGCGGCGTCCAGGTGCAGCTGTCGGGCTAAAGTTGTTCGTCCGTGAAAACTTTTACACCCAGGAAAAATATTATACAATATATATTTGCCGACGTTTCTTCAGAAATCCACGTGAAATAGGTAGTACTGTATATTATAGAAGGCGATTGCAATTAATTTTATGGAATTTCGTATACTATTCTATTATAGTCTAAAAGGCTGTCCGTGAAACGTAATAAATATTGTGTGTGAATACCGTGATCAAACCCCTAACGAGTGCAAGCTC